TTGTACTTCCTGAAATTGACATGAAGGCCCTGAATTCATGGAGTTGGTAAAATTTCTAAAAGTGTTTTTTCTTTCTAGATCGGGTAGGTTTTCCGTCTATTTTGTTTTATTTTGAATACCTATTATTGCATCTGCGTATCCCAGAAATTCACCATTTGGTTTGTTATATTGCAATCGCCATCTAACAAGATGATTGGATGTATGGTTTCGGTGTAAATTTGGAACTTTGTCTTTTCCATGATTGTTGTCGAATACTGGCAGTTCTCTATGAAATGCAGGATTAGCTCTATTAGTACCTTAGTTATTATGGTGAATAAAGTGAAGTCATATTTTAGCTCATCCGACTTCTGGATTGCCATCCAGTATCTTTGTGAGTGGACGGTAATCGCCTGATGTTCCTTGACTGACCACTTTCACCTGTACTTGTTCTATATTCGCGTGCTTTTAATCCATCTGATAAATCAGAATTTACCCAAAAGTTTCTTTTGGGTGATGGAAAAAACGCTTCCCTCCGACCGCAGACAATTAGATAATGGTCATTTTTCCTGGCAAGTACTTCGAATTTTCCTTGAGTTTTCGCACTACTGTCAACTGATATCTGAGGTGCATTTTTCTAACAGAATGTTAAAAATATCCCAACAAGGTCAAACATCTCAGTATATTTTAGCATTGATGTAGTTGTGTTCAACCATTTGTTAGATGTTTTCGCTTTCTGATAAGCTGGAGTCACCTTAATAAGCTTTTCAAAGTAATTCGTTCTAGGTTATTCGATTATCAGTTCTCGACTTTTGATTACGCTCAAAGGTGATTGACTTTGGCACTGGACTAAGATCAATTCTGCACTCAATTGAAATAGCGGGCGAATAGTTTACGAGCAAAGATTGACATCACCGGTTTTCAACTTGATGTATTTACAAGACAGACAACCTGATTTTTTTTAACAAAGTTCTATGCACGTGTGTTGATAGGATATAGCATGTTTTAGCTAGTCGAGTATTGAAATGTTTTCTGGCATAGAAGAGAGCTTAGAAGGAAAGGAAACCTGATGATCCGCTGTCATCGACGATAACAATTAGAGTGCTTTAATAGGAGAATAAACCTATGCGGAATACTATGATAACCTATGGAAGAACTGAGCACCAGTAGAAAGACAGAAGCAGATCTGTTCTATCATAGTTCAAAACGAGAAGCGAATACTCTAAAATCAAGTTCCATGTAAGTGAGTTAACAGCAACGTAATACTCTTAACCTTTTTTATTTTTATAGGCAGTAAATAAAAAAGGTTAAGATTGTGACTTCGACTTCAGTCTCAGCTTAACTAGGTTCATTGCCGATTTGAGCTCCCTAAATCAGTCCCGTTGACGGGTGATTGCTGATGGCGCCGATCAATAGAACTAGCTGAGAAACAGGCGAAACGAAGGACCCGCATGGTGTGGTGGTGAACGCGTAACTCCCCGGAAAGGGCAATAGCGCGTTCGTTTCCCACCGCAAACACATGCGGTCCGGAGTTTTGCCAATACCTCAGCATTATCCTAGCAAATTCATAGTTAGGAAGGTTGTCCTGGACAAAAGATAGGGTCTGCACGAAAACTGGCTATACGAGGGGCCGAAACAATTCTGTGAGAAGAAAACTTTTTTTTGGAATGACTAAACTTTGGCCTTAATGAATACAATAATCGCTTTGTTATAGCGGATGGAATCAATCAATATAATTTGTTAAGTAGTGGAGAAATTATTGCGTCAAACGTGTGACGTCTAGAAATGAACCATAAACTGGGAAATCTGCGGCAAACATTTACGAACCAAACCAACTAATTTTATTGCTCTTTATCACAAGGAATTGGGTTAAACGACTTTTACTTTTTCGCCTCACTCAGCAGATCTTTCGCTAGCTGTCTAAGTGATACTTTTTCATCCACCTTAGAACGGACTGCCGAGAAATCCACAACTTAGAAGCTGCTCCTAGTATTAGCTTCCGAAAGTCCGTTGACTCAGAAGCCTAGCGTTTCATTTGTTTATTAGTTTTAGCAAATTAATAAATGCATTTGGCAGAAAAGAAACTTCGTGAAGTGTGGCGATTTTCATTTTAAATAACATAGTATTCACTCTTTTTTCGTTATTTGTTTGCTAATGTAATACCACATGCTCAAGGATGGACTATCGGTTGAAAAAAAAATTATTATCAACGGATAGCTATTATCGGCAACTATCGTCCTGTATAAAGTACTGATGCCGGCCGAGGTGCCTCATTCGCGCAATGGTTCATCGAAGAAGATTCGACTAGATACGAAGAATGAGACATCACATCCACAAGGCGAACGACTACTGACCATGGACTCCTATCATCGCTTCTGATGAAGGCGAAGATGTCGAAACGTCAGCCGAATAAATATTTGGCAAGAACCTCGTGTTACCTTATAAATGAAATAATGTACACCGATCAAATAACAAAGTTTAATGAAAGTAACGAAATTAGATATGTCTCGTTAAAGTTGACGGCAAAAAAAAAGATAGAAACAATTTTCAGGCAACCTAAAGTGTGCTGAAGAAAAGTGGAAACTCCTACCAGTTCTTCCAAGAATAATTCAAAAAGAACGACAACTGACACACGCGCAAGGGAATCGAGAACAAGAAAAGAAGACTAACATTTCCAATGCATAACACTTTACTCGATTAGCAAAAAGAAAACAAAACGCGGAACGGAAAAATAGGAGGAAAATGGATTTTCCATGTGGATTGGTGGAGCTGACTGAAAAATGGAGAATCGAAAAAATATATATGCTGCTCCAGAAGACGCTGTTCACCGTTTGAATGGCAGAGTGTGACTATGAGCGATGCGTCACCTTGTTCTTCAGCTATCTGCAGAATTCCTCTTCAACGTGCTTTCTCTCATAGTTTTCTAACAAATCGACGAATATATGAGTGAAAAGCGGTTTCATTGGGATGTTTATCAGCTTGTATGAGAGAGAATTCAGACCGTCCGTCTTCCAATCTCGCTTCGTCAGCGCCAATAAGTTGTATCTACAGCTAAAAACCGGATAATAAAATAAAATAAAAGGATGAAGCTCTCGCTGTTGATCAATCTTCGAGGGATGCTCCATGCATTCGACTTTACCAAGCATCGTTTGGAGGTGATTGAATGCATATCTGGCTTTTACAATGACTCGCGGTGGCCTACCGATGCGTAAAGCCAGTGCAGCTATCCTCTCAGACATGTCTGATGGCAATTTGCCGACCCCGGATAGATAGAAGGCTTGGTGGGCCATCGGGGCCGGAATCGTTTCTACATGCATGTTGCAGGGCGCCTCCGACCACTGCGCCACACGCACCCTATCCGAATAATAATTAAATATAACTTCTAGATATTGAGATTCTGAGATGCTGAAATATTTGCAAAACTCCGGACCGTAGGTGGCAGCGGTGGGGAACGAACGTGTTAGTACACTTTCCGGAGGCTAACGCGTTCGCGTTAAAAAGAGTAGACAGCAAATGAAAAGGTTAAGATTGTGATTATAGCTAAAGCCTCAGGTTAACTCGGTTCGTTGCTGATTTGGGCTCCCTATATCAGTCTCGTTGACGGGTAATTGCTGATGGCGCCGATCAATAGAACTAACTGAGAGACAGGCGAAACCAAGGACCCGCATGATGTGCTGGTGAAGGCGTTAGCCCCCGAAAAGGACAACAGCACGTTCATTCTCTACCGCAGACACCTACGGCCCAGAGTTTTGCAAATATCTCAGCCTCATAAACGTTATATTTCGCAACATACCCCTCCATTAAAACGAGTGGGCAATAAATGGAAAGGTTAAGATTGTGATAATAATTAAATGCTTTTGACATAATGCTTCTCTGTAGTCCAAACAGCGAGTTTGTTTTTCGTTTTTTCTTCTTATATAAAAAATCACGGCAAAAACTTTTTTTTCAAAAAAATTTCAGCATCTCGACGGTTGGAAGAGTTTCTCACAGATGTGTTTCTCATGTTGTCTTCTAATATCGTTACAGTTCTTCTACGTAAGAAGAATATGAAGCAAAGAAAACTGAGTGTTTCTTTTTTGGTATTGCAGCCAGAGCAGGTAGATGTAGCGCAGAAATTAGAGGTGCCCTGCAATGTTTACAGTGTTGATCGCTGGTCCAACGCTGTACCCTTGTCTTGCCATGCGTGTCAACCTCCCGGGAACAACAAATTTTCAGACCATCGCTTTGCTACATCTATAAGTTACTAAAATTCATTTTATAAATCAGATGTGAGTTCGATCATTTTAACGATGCTTGATGTAGTTGTATGTATGATGAATATAGAAATTGATCGACGTCGTACACTTCATTATTTGTAGCTTTAACGTAAAACAAAATGCCAGCTTTTCAAGAATTTCAGTGTGTTTTTCTCGTGTGATTACTGGTGAACTGAAACCATGTTATCGTCCCTATCGAGTAATCCAGATAATACCAGTTATCTCGGAGTCGGTGATCTGTTCATCCTAGTAGCAAATGATCTTCCCAAAGGCTTACCGCCTCATCGTGGTTGCGTGGTGTTCCTGGGTGCCGGGCTGCCATATACGGCAGGGGAATTCATCTTTCTGTCAGGTTTTTCCAAGTCGGAAAGGAGTCTAGGGTTTCCACCAGGAAGAGCTATTCCTAGCTAAGAGTAAACCAATAGCATGTTCCACCACCGTCTTGGTATCACAGTCACATGGTGGTAAATCTCCCTCTGATCCACAAGAGCTGCGACTGCCTGTCGTGGTGAAGACCTGGAGCAGACTTTGGCTAGGCTGACCTCGGAACTCCAGGGAACCATAATGGCTTAAGCAATAAATCTCGGAGAAATGGAGATTATGCTGCGTCTCGCACAACTAGTGAGGGCGGGCCATTCAAGTACCAACTATCAAGTACCAAATGATAAGCTAGGAATATAACTCGTATATAATGCTGAGATATTTGCCAAACTTCGGACCGCAGGTGTTAAAGGCAGTAAATAAAAGGGTTAAGATAAGCTAGAAAACTCACGGATTTTCTGGATTAACCTTATCACGAGTGTGCTCTATCATTGTGTACCGAGCAATAGTGTCGTTGTATCTATCGACATTGTATCCGGCGAATTTCACTCTAAACAACCATTCTCACGTTTGCCTAAAACTTCCTGAAGCATTCTAATTATTGTGTAGAGCACAATAGATTAGATCTTAGCATGAAGCACATAGAATGGTCGCCGTATTGAATCGTATAGTATGATTTTCAGACGATTCATGAAACTTTTGCCATACTTTTTGCTTAAAATTCCACTAGATTTGTTTTAGTAAATTTATTATAAGTTCGTCTAGTGACAAAAGTTCTTAGTCTTTTGAGATTTTTGTTTATTCCCACTATAGCAACTTACAACGGTGCGTGTGGCACAGGGGTTATGGAAGGTACCCTGTAACACACATGGGTTTGACTCCCGCGTCCGTTGCTCATCAAGCCACCTCTCCGGGGTTGGTAAATTGGTACCAGACTTGTCTGAGGGGATCGCAGCAGTAGGTCGATGCAACGGTAGGCCACCGCGAGTCATTGTAAAGGCCAGATATGCATTCAATCTCCTCCAAACAATGCTTAATGAAGTCAAATGCAAAGCATATCTTTCAGGGATTGATCAACGCCAAGAGCTTTACCCTTTTTTTATAACGACCTACTATTAGGACATCTTAGGCATGAGAGGGACCACAGGAAGAAACTTTCGTTCAGCTTTCAACATAATGGTGGATTGCCGGAAGCATTTCAAAACAGTCATGTAGGAACCTGATGCTGATACCAACAACAACCTCCTCATTCTTATTTCGCTTAGCAAACGACTAATGGAATACTGGAATATGAAGNGCTAGATTGCGAGATCGCGCCACAGACGCACAATTTCAACTTTCTTCCTACTTGTTCAGAGTTGAATCAAGTTGAAATATTGCGGTTCCAATGTTAGTTGCAAACGATGGATGTTTTTTCGACAACAAATTAAGGAAATCCTACCGGAGAAGACGACCTAGATACTCATCAATGCTTTAGATAAGCTCTAAGAATTAATTATTCACTGACGTTGTGATTTCACCCATTGGCACGAAAGTTCGATCATGAATGAAACTGTTTCTCAATGTTAGTTCAAGTGAAAGATCTGGTAGAGGCACAACTGTGATTTTGAGGACTTTCACATAGAACGTAGCTGCGAAATGAAAACAGAAGAAGATGGAAGGACATGGATCCGTATCAAGAATATCAGCTGATACAAGACCAAATGTTCCAAGACATCACTGATGTCACTACTGCTTTCCAGGAAACACTTGTTTGTCCAATGCTTAAGGATAATCGAATTGGAATATCGTTTTCACTATGGAGAACGTTACCTGAGTATGTATGGAAATCGCTATGGGCGGCAACCACTTTTCTAACCTGTTTCGCTATCCTAAAACATCAGCTGAATTAAACGTGTGGAACATCACAGCTGGTAAGTTTTCAAGGATTTGCAAATTTGTCCAAAGCAAATCTGCCTGTTAAGACTGCTTTGAAAGCATCTTTGGTAGGCATGAAACCTAATGCGACTTTGACAACTGTATAATTTTAGAATATCTTTTACAGCCCCACTGGAACAGCACTGAAAGCGTAAACTTATTTGAAACCCAATGACCATTCGTTATGAACCACATCAGTGAAGATAACATTGCGAAGTGGATTTCGTTTTAAGAATGAAACACAAGGTTTGTTATACGTTGAGAGCTACATCAGCTATTACAAGGACCCTAAATGATGTGTTGTCTCTGAATACGAACTTAGATGCTGAATTAAGGGAGAAAAAATAAAGTGCTATAACCATAACACATTACTCGAGCAAACGATGTTATAAGTTTATTTACAGTTCAATAGCAACAGTTCGGGTTAAATTTACGAACGCCTGTGGATAATTCCGCGTTAGCAATGCTTCCGAAGAAGTGTTGATAATGAATGCTGATTCTGAGCCACCATTCTTTGCACATATTCAAGCTTGCACCTCTAGTCTTCCAGAATATTTTGGATTTTTGCAATTTGAACTGCAGAGAAGTGTCGCTAGCCTCAACTTTGCCTTAGGGTCATTACTGCGGTTGTTGTCGAAGGCTGGTGAAAAAGAAGTTTTGCTTAAGAGCTCTTAAATTCTACTAATTCCGCATATAAATGAAAAAAACGTTAGTTTACGCCATTGCGACCCTTCTTATGCAGTGCAACAAATCCAATTAAATCGCCCTCCAATGCCAGGAATAAGATGATAAGAAGGTAAGCACCGAAAGATTTTAGCGCTATCGAAATTTTCCTTTTTATTTTGGAAACAACTTCACTACTACTAGTTGTTATCATACAAAGAAGAGACAGTAATATAAAGAGCGTTTATTTGCAACTTGGTAGTGGCTGTAACATTGCACATTGCACTACTTGCAATTTGAATGTCTGCATGACTTTTGAACTGTCAGAGAGATTATAAATTGAATACTCTAATCAACACCAAACTGCCCTTAAAGCTCATTGCACTGACGCATCAGAATATAAAATTTGGGTAGCTGCGACACTATTTACTTTCTCAGAAGTCAAGTTATCGCACTGAAACTATGTTCTTTCACCAGCCCCAAGAGGTAAGCTCAATTTAGTGGTAACCTAGAAAGTTACGGAATCCCTTCCTAATTCTTTTTACAACTAAGCACTCTGCGCGTCCTAATAAACCAGGGCTCTAAGGTCAATTATCATAACACTGTTTTGGTAAAATACTTTTCCGGCTTTTGGTTGGTTTTGGTTCTAAGGTGTAACCAAGACGTACCCGATCAGCACGAAAGTGACCATAAAACAAAAGTTTTAAAGTATGTAATTCTTAGAGAATAGTCACCTGCTGCAACTTAGAAGAGGAATCTTTGTTATTCGAAGGTCGGGTTATCTTCTTGCACTTAAATTCGTTGTACTCTACAATCTGCGTAGTGAAACTTTTCTATGACAAGAATTAAGATTTATGCTGGGGATTACAGCGAGGAGACACATGAGGAAAAGAACACTACGGACAATGATGAACAACAAAAGATGCAAAGAATCATCACAACCTTGCACTCCAGTCGCTGCTATCCAGATGCGAATTACACAATTCGCTAAGCATGTAAGTTCATGAGGAAGACGGTTTCATCTTATGCGGAGACAATCGCGATTCCTTTAGCCAATGCCCCAATCAAAGAGCCGCATGACTTCGATGCAAACAGTGCGGCTCAATGAAGTACCAGTTTGTATTTTTCCATGAGAAGGTGTTATAAATTTGTTGGGAATAATATTGCATTTGCAGTCTTTTATGAAGAAACAGATGAACTGCGTGCATAACGGATTTGTTACACCATGATCAAATTTATCTTATCCTGTCTTTGTTTTTCTTTGACAGCCACTGAAAATCAATGAAGATGAAGGAAATACCCTTAAGTAACAGCAATAAGAACAAGGGTAGTTGCTTCGTTTTCTTTACCAATTTTGGTATCATGCGATTCTTACCAAAGTTTCAGATCAAACTATCTAAAAAAAATTTGGAAGAAATCATGCATTTATCACTAATACCTTTTCATCTGTAATACTATGATATTTTTAAGAAAGCCAACAAAATCTTTAATAGAGGAGAAAGATAAAATATCTCTAAAACTTGTTGCTCACATTCTACAGAAATCCATGNTTACTCGTCGAATTCTTTTCGAACGTTTTGAGAAATAAAATTCGGCCTGATAAGGGGGAAGTGGTCAGAGCTGCTGATAAAGCAACGGGAAGAGAACACTTTATTGATCGAATTTAAAACAGTTAAATATGTTCGGATGAGGCGAGTTAACTTGGTATCAGAATTTCCGCGTTCGATTACTAAGGTAATCCTGGTATCCTGACACTAGTCTATGATTTGAAGCCTCAGCTTCTGTCCCTCTCGTTATTCTATGTCTACGATTTGTTACCATGCCCAGCGTTGAAGGCAGTTCAGCACTAATGGTGTCTTCTCGTAATGAAGAATAAAGCAAACCTTAAAGAAAATATCTACTACGCAAAGTACATCTACTTTTGTTCGATTTTATTAAATATCTATCCACACTGTACTCGTAACCATACTGTGACTTGACTCCCTTCTAGAATAACCTCGGCTAAAAACGTATAATAGCAGATATTCATACAATGATTTCCCAGCGATTTTTAAAAAAACGCTTACTACTGGGTTGTGTTAACAAACGCATACACTGCAACGGTCAGATGTTACCTCTTATACATGTCGTCGTCTTCGCCACCCCATCCCCAATAGCGGTTCGAAAATCCATTGGTTTTTCGGAACTGATTCGCAGTTAGGGCGCTGCTTGTCCCAAACATTTCTTTATAAAAGAGTCTGCAATTTGGTAAAGTTCGGCTGCAGTGTCAGTAACATAGTAAGCTGTGCTTTGAGTCTGGATCGTAGTTAAGTGATCAATTCACCGAAATACAATTACAGAAGTATATGAGACAAAAAAAATGATCATTAAGTTAGGAAAAAGAGCGATAGCTAATGTTATAAATAAATATGCTATGTCAACTAACTTGTAATTGAATTTATTAATTGCAACGGCCATATGCCGAGGGTTTTTAAATGGACAATGGTGCAGATTGCGATCATCTTCAGGTAAAACGTCAACGTCATGGAATAAGAAGCATTGCCAATCATACAGCTTCAGTGCCTCTACGAATCCGACGTTGAGTAGCTGTATATGAACTCTATGGTGAATTTAAGGTTAAAAAGGTTATTTGGATCTAATAAAAAAATAAAACAATGGTTCATTGGTTTTGGAGAACTACGGTGAAATTTACAGTACTATATTTCCACTCTTCAGTAGAACATCAGTGATGTTGTGATTATAGCCATAGCTCCCAGGATCGACTTTCTATTAACCTCGGCATTGGAATATGAATGCGTCGTTTTCTTGTTCAGCAATAGCGAGGTTTTTAAACAGCTTACATTTCTAAACTTCCTCATTGGAAGTCGCGAAGAAGCGGCTCTGAAGAAGGCGATACTGCTGAAACGTCAGCTAGTGTTGTATTGTATTGTGTTTTTCTATGGAAGTAAATATAGCCATAGCCTTCGCCTATTTTTTTTTACCCGAAACAAAAGCAGGGCAGACTGTATATGGACTGAAAAGCCGGTCCAGGTAACAAACTAAAGTGGAAAATTGGCAAATAAAGAACGCCGGTGACACTAACCTTGGCTCGATTCATCGTTTGATCGACCGGCTCGACGACGATGATTGAATAATCCAACTTCTGCTTTGTCAAGAAAGAGTGCATATGATTGAGAAGAATTCTCAAATGTTCTTCTCTGTCACGATATGGAACAACTACGGCGATCTATAAAAAATGAAGTCATGAGACTTCAGAACTCTTCAGAAGTGATCGCAATTCAACAACAAAATTCAAGACGTTATTTCACTGAAATCTTTGGGGTAAATTTACGCAGAGCAATCTTTTTCTCATCGCTCACTATTCAGCCCGATATTAAAGATTTAATGGGAAGGTAAATCTGATAAAAACAACTTCGTTATCCATAAAGGTGGTTTGCACAGAGTGCTTCATGCCTGTGTTCTTGAAATTTATCTCATAAAGGTTTATAGAGTTACTTACTCGACTTCTAGCTTTGCAATCTTGAGGAATATATTGTCCACCAGGTTTCAAGTATTGGTACTTCTTCTCCATTTCCTTCATGTCAATTGGATTCATGTTGATGCTAATCCTGCCATGAAATTCATTGCCATTTATCATGCAGTACTCATGTTGGCTCGTTTTTGTGGCGGTGGAGAACGATTCTTCTTCTAAAACGAGAATGATACTACAAGTCAAGCACGAATATGAGTTTTCTTTAATAGGAGCCTCTAATTTGAACAAATTTACCCCAATTTTTTAACATCTCTTGACGTTTGTTCGTTCAAATGCCAAAATATTGGGAGAAGTAATTTTAGTTGAACAAAAGTAGACATGTATTTAGTGCGATTTTTTCTATCATATGATCATCCCCAGCCTACTTAGTTTCTTAAAACCAACCTCCCTGTTTCTGACTCAGCTTGGATCTCGAATGCGTTCTTATGGGCCAACTTCGCTCTCCACTATTCTTGATTTCTACTTGATTTGAGAGCTTCATGGGATCCTCCAGCAACTAAGCATCTAATGGTAAGAATGAAAACAAAAAACGAAGCAATAATCACTGTTTCTACGCTACTGTTACACTTTGCTAGTCTCCGAGGTCCGAAGTGGTACAACTTGTAATAGACCGCAATACAAAAGATGTGTATTGATTTGGCAAGCACCAGGATTGCATTAACAAGCGTTATTGCCTAATTTTGCATACAACAGTGATTTCATCTGTGATTGATGGAGAATGCTCATGGGAACAAATAACCTTATTGGTCGTCCGACTTTATCTTATTAGGGGGAGAAATTAGAANAAATTTTAGAAGATCGTGCTCTAATCCACGAAAAACCACGATTATTGAAGCAATCTGATCACAAACACTTCATCTGTACAGACCGGGTTTTTTTTTAAATGTTTCTAACATCTCGGTTTTTTAACGTGTCCACTGACTCTATTGCTAGTCTTTTCTAGACCATAAAAACCTAGTGTTATCATATTTATCAGATCTATTACAAAGCTTTCTTGGGCTTATAGCAAATCGAAAACTTATTTCAAAACGTGTAACATGTGTGAGAACTTACACGAGTATAGTATAATAGCACAATAGCAGCAGCAGCAATGGCAATGAGAACTAAGCTGACCCTATGAAAAGTTTTCATAAATACTATTGAAGAGCAGCGAAGCCGCACAACGGCTGGAGCGGGGTTCCGATAACCAACCTGGTACGTGAAAATCGTGGGCGGCGATGATGGTGGGCGAATTTTTCAGTGAAACATAAAAAAAAGTGAGCTTTAATCTATGAGAACGCTATGAAACTTGGTATACAGAGTTTGAATGGAATCCTATTCACATGCACAGGCGGACAATCCATTTCGCGATAAGGTTCAAGCTGGCTGGGAAAGAAAGTTACTATGACAGTCTGTCAAATAGAACTGTTTGGTGCGCACGGTGCAAGTGTTAGTACCGCTTTTATTACTAGCGATACTTTCAACTGCGCGCGTTTTTTTCCCTAAAAATTTGCTACTCGTTTTCATCGCCCTTTTTCCTTCATGTCGTTTCCACTGGTAATGTTGAAAAATTTAAAAGTAAGCGTTATTATTTTTTGAACCTCGAACCTTTCTCTTCTTAAAGAAGGGTTCACCTGCAATTCGAAGTACCGTTAAGAGGAGCGCCGAAGAAAAGTGCAAGCAAACAACGACGAAAGCCCGCCTCTTCACCGCATCATTTTTAGACGTGTTCAGAAGCAGCATTTAGGGCCCAACTTGCGATTCAGCACAATCGGACTAAGACTTAAGTCAGCGAACAAAAGGGACTCGTGTTTGCAAGCACAGTTGCATTCGTTACCATTAAATCAATTGCAATTGGTTGAGTGTATCTTCTTAAAAGGAGGCTGTCTCTGCTGAATCCACATCGACAGGAGTTATCCAATAAATTTGTAAGCATAGCAGATTTACTCCATGAAATGGATTATCGCTAAATGGCTATGAGGTTCTTTAAAAAGAGTCGTGGCATGGTGGAAATTTATTCTGATATCCAACCGCTTTTCCAGAAAATCGTTACATCTCTTCTGTAACGGAGCTTCTCATGCTCTGCATGCATCGAACAAACCGTCGTTTAAAGAAATGACAAACTTGAACCCTTATACAATTAATCCTTATGTCTTCCATATGATTTCGCGTTTACTGTTTTCTATTTGTTCTTTCAAAGAGTTATGTGTTCAAGATGACTAGTGAAGATAGTAACATAAACAACATGATTGTGTTTTTCAAGAAATCAAGAACCAACACCAATATCAATGTATTCTGTGGAACGGTATTCAACAGCATCATTACTGCACGTAATTCCTTTTTATTTGGCTTCTCTTTTCTTTTTTAAAGATTTTCATATAAAATCCTCACCTTGTACGCTACCATCACTTTGACGTGCACTGCACGGATCACATTTGTTTGGTTATCAGTTTCAGCTTTTTATTTCTTGTTTACTTATGGGTCAGCTTCTCCAACACTGCAGAATAGTGATTTATTTGCGGTCTATTACATAGCAATTTATATCATATTATACTATTTGACAGTGATATTAATAGTAAATAATGCCAATACTGTTATTCGTGTCGGGTAATCTCGACTGTAGTCCGACGACGAAACAAAGTCGGCATTTGTTATTGAGTGGAATCGTTGGTATGGAAAGAAGAGCAGAGATCGGAGCCATCGAACTAACTTTGGAGTGGATTATTTTAATTCCCGCCAAGTGATTCTGTTCATGAATGTCACTTGTATTACCTGTCCTCTTGCCGACTATTGAGTGATTTGAACCACTTGTTTCCATACTTCCTCTTTGCTGTGTGCACGAGAGTTGACCAGTGTGCGTAGGTTTTCTCACTCGGGGGTCGGAATATTTCCATATTTTTAAAACACCACTTCATAAAACAATGAAAAGAACCATACGCATGCTTATATGTCATGGTATTTTATTTCTTGTTTTTTTAGCATGGATCTTTAAACACACTGCTCGATTGGATTCCTTTCCTCGCATCCGTATTACACGAAGGTCTTTGGTTTATCATTTAGTGTGTAGGTTCGACTATTGTCTAAGAATTTCCGATCTTCCTTATAAACGTTGTTCAATACTGGACTTGTCGAGTGGATACTCCTTATTCAAAATTCGATGCTAAGATTGCCGTGCTAGGGTGCTTCTAGTTCTTGTGGAAGGGATTAATGTGAAATTCTTTACTTAATAATCTCGATCCTTTCTATCCAAAAATCGTGGCCTCGCTTGAAAAAGTGCCTTGTATCTTTTTCATTTCAAAGGCTTATTTCGCTTATTATCCTTTCACTTGTACCTTCATTTATATGCTAAATTATTTAGGGCTAAAGTCATTGGAGTTGGAAGGGATATAATACGTCTGAGCAATTTCTGGTTTTCAAAATTTGGTGATGTAGATGAGAGCTGTGAAGATGAATAGATCAAAGATGATCAGCTCTAATCAATGTTGATCAAAGACACTTCTGTGGACGTTAGGGTAGTCTCTTCCAATGGAATGAAAAGTTGCCGGGTACCTAGTCTTTAATGAGGTAACAGTTTAAAACTTCTTACCCTAACGAGTATGTGTGGTCAAGAATTAGGAAAGCTTCACCATAGGTATACTGGCTCTAGAGAGACGACCACAATCATCTAGCATTTATTAAAGTTTATGGAGATCACCAAATATTCACTTGGTAGTCGAACTCCTAATATCTCCGTTGTTGACAGAAAAAGGGCATCACACCGAATGAAAGAAATGTTGGGATCCTGAAAAATGTGGAAACTAAGGTAATGCAAATAAGAGTTAAATACAGAAACTTCTTAAACGGAGTGAAAAGAAAGCGTGGAGATAATTGGATGTTACATGGAATGAAAAAGAAAGAAGTGGATATTATAATAGTTTAGGCTGGTTGGAGGCGCCACTGCGACACAAACGCGGGATCGATCACCGCGCCCATGGCCCACCAAGCCCTCCATCCCTCCGGGATCAGCAAATTGGTACCAGACTTGGCTGGGAGTCTGGAAAGATAGCAGCACTGACTCGATNNNTCACTTCCGATGATACTTAATGAAGTTGAATGCATGACGCATTCCTCAGGGATTGATCGATGACGAGAGCTTTATCCTTTTATCCTTATTAGGATAGCTTTCTCCTCTGAAAAAATTATTTTCTTCTCTTGTCAAGTTGTGAAACGCGAGATGATATTTATTATGCTAACAGTTGGCGTTCTGCTTAAGGGTAGAGAAATCGCTGCAATTTTTCCACTAATGAAGTGTGGTTCCCAACAGTTTACCACCTCATCGTGCTGGGAGGTGTTCCTGGATGTCATACTGTGATGTAAAGTAGAGTATTCATTTCCTGGCAGGGTCTCCTAAGGTAATAAGTATTCCGGCGTTTCACCAGGGTGCCCAGCTAAGTGTAAACCAATACCAAGATCCGCCACCATCCTGATATCAAACTTGTCCCATGGTGGCATATCATTCTCTAATCCACAAGGGTGGCAACTGCCTGTGCTGGCGACGACCTAAGGCAGACTTTGGCCAGGCTGACCTTGGGACTCCAGGGAACCACAGTGGCTAAACCTTTAAAGCTCCGATTAATGGAGAATATGCTGGTGCCCGCACAACTAGTGAGGACGGGTCGTCCAAGCATCCAAGTAAGTAAATAATCAAGTGTGCATCTAAAGCTTGTCGTACTTTTCGTGCTTGTTTCGTGGTAGCCGTAGAAAATAATTTGATGCAATATCTTCGATTCTAACCAATTTTTTTTGACAGCAGAGTAATAGTGTAGGAAATTTAATAAAGCCTAACCGTAACACCTTCATGGTGATGCCAGGTCAAACGGATCACTTTTATTGGGTACGACTACGCGTCTGACAATCATTAAACTTAACTTTTAGTTAAGCGAAGTTTAAAAGTGTTCCAAATTTGCTATACTTATAGAACTTATGGAATGAGACTGACTGTTATTTTCTTAAGCAGCTAGAAAATACGTTGCCGAAAATAAAACATATATACTACACACTGCTGAAAACACTTCTAAAAGATTTTTAAGGTCCAGAAACTTGGA